ATTACCGTAAACACGGTGTTACGAGGGAAGGACGAGAGGGGAGGTAAGGGCCCTTTGGAGACGAGTCGATAAGTCTTCACGCGGGCAAAAAGATCGCGACTATACTCGCCAATCCTTATACTTCGAGAGACGGATTTTATTCTCATTTAAACTTCACTCAAGTTTATATTTACCCCATGGAATACTGCTTTTCATACTGCACGTCCTCACCCAGAATGAAGTTTATAATTCTCCGTGAAAAACTCTATACCTTTTATATTTTTATACAGCCATATATATACACATATAATCGTATATATATATTGTTAGTCATTAATCCTTGTGCGGCACTCGTTATACCACGCTTATGATTTCAAATGAGAATGAGTTCTCATTTCTTGTTCCATAAAAAAAAAGAAATTCCAACATTTTTTATAGAAGAAGAAAAACACTTTCGACAATTATTTCTTGTATTTTCTGAATTTTTATTCTTGTTTTCTACAAGGGCTCGAACAAGTGAAAGTATTTAAAAATATGTACGGACTTTACAGACCAAAAATGAAAAATTAGAATAATTAGAATTTTCAAATTCATTTGTTAACAATTTAATTTTACAAAATTTCAATTATTCGTAAATTCTTCAATTTAACATATATATTAGAAAATGAAAACTTAAAATAATTTTTTACGGACCAAAAATGAAAAATTACGGACCATTCACAGACCAATTACTCATTAATTCTTAAATCAATTTTTATTATAGATAATCCCACGAGAATTTCATTATTTAAATACAAAAGTAAATAATTTATTAAATAATTGAATGTTTCTCAAAATTGAATTCTCATAAAGAATTTTACCAACAAGTTTTTAAATAATTAAATTATTTTGTCGAATTTTATTAAAACTTGCATGAAAATAATTACTTTTTTCAAGGAATTCAATTAAAATTGTATGAAAAATAATTGAAATTCTGTGACGAGTTTTATTATTAGTAAAAATAATTGAATCCTTAAGAAGAATTTTAGTACCTACTCTTGTAAATAATTGAATTTCTGCAATAATTTGTAACTTCTCCAAAATTAAATTTTTTTCCTAGTGTTTGAACTAAAATTCTTCTTTAAATCGATTATTTTTAATAATTTTCGAAAAAGTTTTTTGACAATAATTTTCAAATCAATTTGTGTACCTACAATATTCAATTTTACGAAATTTTGATTATTCGTAAATTGTCCAATTAAATATATATTAGAAAATAAAAACTTGAAATAATATAAAAAAAATCCAATTAAACTGTTTTAAAAAAAAATTAATTTCAAAATTCAATTATTTCTAAAAAATTCACGCTATATTGGTTTTAATATTCAATTATTATCTAAAATTTTAACTGAAATTCGTTTTTAAAGCAATTTTTATTAGATAATTCTACTAGAATACAAAAATTTAATTACAGAAATAAATAATTTATTGAATAATTGAGTGCTTCTTAAAATTCAATTTCCATAAAGAATTTTATCAGCAAATTTTCAAATAATTGAATTCTTACGACGAATTTTTTATAAAATTTTTTAGAATAATTACATTTTTCGAGAAATTCGATTAACCACTTCACTGGCATGGCGTTCCAAATGGCGTTCCACGCGCCGAGGCCGAGACTGGCAAAAACACCGAAATGGCGTTCCTAATAAAACTTTATTTTTTAAGAGTGTAAACTACTTTTAACTTTTACAAAGCAATATTTCTATAGTTAAGACATCAGGTAACAAGATTATCACAATAAAAGTTTCAGTTTTTGAGATTTTCAATGTTTCTTTGAACGTTGAAATACTCAATTTTTACCACTTTTTAACAAATAGCGTTCCACTTTTTTTCAATTTTTATGCAGTAAAAGTCATATTTTTTATTTAAAAAAAAATGTATTTATATACAATATTATATTATAATAATAATAATGTAATAAATAAAAAATAAATATAAATAATTGATAAATAAAATATAATAATTATTAATAATAACAATTACTATTATTGTTATAATTATTATTATAATTATTGCATTATACTATTATATAATTGTATATTAATACATTTTTTTAAATAAAAAATATGAGTTTTACTGCGTAAAAATTGAAAGAAAGTGGAACGCCATTTGTTGAAAAGTGGTAAAAATGGAGTATTTCAACGTTTGAAGAAACATTGAAAATCTCAAAAACTGAAATTTTTATTGTGATAATATTGTTCCCTGATGTCTAAACTATAGAAATATTGCTTTGTAGAAGTTAAAAGTAGTGTACACTCTTAAAAAATAAAGTTTTATTAGGAACGCCATTTCGGTGTTTTTGCCAGTCTGGGCCTCGGCGCGTGGAACGCCATTTGGAACGCCCTGCCAGTGAAGTGGTTAAAATTGTATTAAAAATAATTGAAATTCTGAAATGAGTTTTATTATTTCCGATGATAATTGAATCCCTAAAAAGAATTTTATTATTTTTAAACAATATTTATAATTTTTGCGAAAAATATTATTCTTCTCAAAAATAATTGAATTTCTGGGCAATAATTTGTAACTTTTCCAAAATTATAAATTTTTTTTCTTGTTTTTAATTAAAATTCTGCTATAAATGCTTTATTTTTAATAATTTTTGAAAAAGTTCTTTGAAAATTTTCAAATTCATTTGTTTACAATTCAATTTTATAAAATTTTAATTATTCCTAAATTCTTCAATTAAATATATATTAGAAAATAAAAACTTGAAATAATTTTTAAAAAAATCCTGAATTAAACTTTCTCAAAAAAATGAATTTCACAGAATTATTAGTTTAAAATATGAAAAAATCAGATTTTCAAAGATTTTAATATGAAACCTATTTAAAATTCAATTATTTCTAAAAATTCACGCTCTAATGCTATTAATATTCAATTATAATCAAAAATTTTAACTAAAATGCATTTTTAAAGCAATTTTTATTAGACTACTAATTATTCTACCAGAATTCAATTATTTAAATACAAAAATAAATAATTTATTGAATAATTAAGTGTTTCTTAAAATTCAATTCCCATAAATAATTTTATCAACAAATTTTTAAGAATAATTACATTTTTCGAGAAATTCGATTAAAATTGTATTAAAAATAATTGAAATTCTGTAATAAGTTTTATTATTTTGTTAAAATAATTGAATTCCTAAAAAGAATTTTATTATTTTTGAACAATATTTATAATTTTTGCGAAGAATTTTATTCTTTTTGAAAATAATTGAATTTCTGCAATAATTTGTAACTTTTTTAAAATTAATTTTTTTTTCTTGTTTTTAATTAAAATTCTTCTATAAATGCATTATTATTAATAATTTTTGAAAAAGTTCTTTGAGAATTTGCAGATTCATTTGTTTACAATTCAATTTTACAAAATTTCAATTATTCGGAAATGCTTCAATTAGAAATATATTAGAAAATAAAAACTTAAAATAATTTAAAAAAAAATTCAATTAAATTTTTTCAGATGAATTAATTCTACAAAATTTTTTGTTAAAAATATGAAAAATTCAGAATTTCAATGATTTTAATTTGAAACCTTTTCAAAATTCAATTATTTCTAAAAATCCAGGTTATAATGCTTTTAATATTAATTATAATCTAAAATTTTAACTATGCAAATCATTTTAAAATCAATTTTTAATAGAAAATTCTACTAGAATTCAATTATTATTTAAATAAAAAAACAATTTATTGAATTGTTTTGAATTGAATTCTCATGATGAATTTTATTAATAAATTTTTAAATAATGAAATTCTTTTGACGAATTTTAATATAATTTTTAAGATTCGATTTCGACATTTTTCGAGAAATTCGATTAAAATTGTATTAAAATTAATTGAAATTCTGCAATGAGTTTTATTATTTATGAAAATAATTGAATTCCTAAAAAGAATTATTTTATTATTTACGAAAATAATTGAATCCATGCAAAAATTTTATTATTTATAAAAATAATTGGATGATTGCGAAGAAATTTATAAAAAATTTGTAAAATAATTGAATTCCTGTAAAATTTTTATTCTTTTATGAAATTAATTAAAGGTTTGCGTAGAATTTTATTAATTATTTTTAAATAATTGAATTATTTTAGAAAATTGTATTAAAAGAGTAGATATTAAAAATCATTGAATTGAAGAAAACTTTTGAAAATAATTGAAATTTTGCCAATTATTTTATTAAAATTTTTGAAAATAATTGAATTTCGGAGAAGAATTTTATTATTTATCAAGATAATTGAAATTCTGTCGAGAATTTAAAAAAAAATTTTTAATATAATTGAATTTTTGGCAGAGAATTTTATTATTTTTGAAAATCTTTTCTCAATCAAATTACGGACTTTATGGACCTTTTTTTTCAAAAAATCTGACTTTTACGGACTTGAAGCAAATTTACGGATCTAGTTCGAGCCCTGTCTCTATTATAATTCTCAAAAAAGTTGCAAAATATAAAAAAAAATTCCGTTTTTAAATAAATATTTGTGGCTGTTTTCTTCTTTGGGAGAAGCGACCCCCCACTTTGGGTAGCGAGTCATGGAGAAGGGAGCAGTCGCATGGTGGGGGGTCGCTTCTCCTAGCTGATTACTTGAGCAGACTTTTTGCAATTTAAGGGCTAATTAAATTTAAGTAGATAATAATTCAATAGAAATTTATTAATTAAAAAGTAATTAAATAGTATTTACTTCAATAGAAAATAATTACATAGAAATTAATTAAGTAGAAATATAAAATAATGAAATAGAAAATAATGAAATAAAAAATAATTGAATAGAAAATAATTAAATAGAAAATAATCAAATAGAAAATAATCAAATAGAAATTAATCAAATAGAAAGTAATCAAATAGAAAATAATCAAATGGAAAATAATCAAATAGAAAATAATTAAATAGAAAATAATTAAATAGAAATTTATTAGATAGTAATGAATGAATGATAATTTAATGAAATAGCAATGAATAATTGTAAAAATAATTTTCTGTCACAGGCGAATAAGGAAACGAATGATTATTATCAACGAGGATGTAAGTGTATATTGCACGAAAAAGAGAAAAGACAAGAGGGAAAAGATAGCGGGAGTGAAATTTTTTGGTGGATTGAGAAAAATGAAGGAGATTCTGTGGAAGATGAGAAGTCAACGAAGAGAGAGAAAAATGTTGACACAAAGTAAATAAACGAGATCGGATGGACGTGGGCGAATTGTCGAACGTGGCTGGATTGGCTGGAACTGGCAACCACTGTTCACCAGGAGTTGGCACTACAGGTTGGTGGACCTCTTCTCCAACAATTGCAACGACCCCGGCCAATACTGACGTAGTGAGTATTTTTTTGCTCTTCATTTTCTCCTTCTATTTTCCTTCTACTTTATAGCTATTAAACTTCCATAGAAATTTTTTTTTCAAATATTTTCGAAATTTCGAAACAAATATAGAAGAAATTTTAATAAATCCTGTATTTGTTAATTAATTCTAAGCAATTTTTCTAAGGATATCAAATTGAGACAAAAAACGAATCAAAATGTTGCTTTGCAACGTTGCAAAGCAACATTTTGATTCGTTTTTTGTTTCAATTTGATATCCTTAGAAAAAACTGTTAATAAATAAAAAAAATAAATAAATAAATAAAAAAAATTGAGAAAGTATTTAAAGAGTTTTAAATTCTGGACAATGCACTCTAAATATATTTAATTAAATATCTCGAGAGAGACCTCTATCATTTTAAGGACCTTGACCTTTGTAGTTCTTTGACAGTACTTTGCTTGGAAATATTATGCTAATTATTTATAGAAGCACTTAACTCACATGCGAATGAGTAATTAATGTCTTGTTAAGAATTATAATTATTATTTGCCGTGTATTGTTCATTCAGGTATGATTACTTACGTTAACTAGTAAACTTTATATAGACAATCTTGATGCACAATGGAATGCAATAAATAATATAAAAACAATTTTTTTTTCTCCGCTTTTTCGAGGCATCATATCAGTTAATTGCATTTCACTTCTAATTAGTAAAATTTAACGACCATTGGATAAGAATATTTCATTCTCGACGAAAATTTTTTTTTATTTTTTTTTAATTCATCTGTAAGGTGTATTAATCGAATTTGAAATTAATAATTAATAATTAATCATTGGTAATTAATAGTCAATCATTTGTAATCAATAATCAATAATTAATAATTAATTATTAATACTCTATAAATTTACTTTCTCGAATTAAAAAAAAGTTCATAAGTAGAGTCACACTTGCGATTTATAGAAATAATCAAATTATTTTATAACTTATTTTTGTATTTAATTTATTTGAATTCTCGTAGAAGTTTCTGAAAAGAATTAATATGAAAAATAATATTTCAATTAAAATTTTAGAAAATATTTGAAGAATAGAAAGAATTGCAGTTCTAATTTTTAGAAATAATTAAAATTCAAAAAGTATTTTGAAATATTGCAGGTATTTCGAAATTTTAATTCCTTCTGGACAAATAAATAACAATAAGTTATCAAATATTTATTAAACAAACAAAAATTAATGAAATTTGAAAAATTATATTTAGAAATTTTAACAAAATGTGGTTTTCAAAAAATTGTAATTGACATTTTTGGAAAATAGTTCAATTCTCGAAAATAATTTTAAAAAATATGAAGAAATGGGAAATTTTTTCAAATTTAATTAAAATAAATTTTATATTTTAAAGAATTTTATTTTCTCGCTTTAAAAAATTATTTTTAAATATTTACTGTATTTTTTGAAGAATTTTTACTAAAAATTTGGAAAATAATTGAAATTCACAAAAAATTTTGTATTTAAATAATTCAGTTACCATTAAATTCTATAATAAGAATTGATTTAAATTAAAAAAGAATTCAAGTTAAAGTTTTGAAAAATAATTGAATATTAGAAGCGTTATAACAGGAATTTTAAGAAATAATAAAATTTTAAAAGGTTTTTGAATTGAAATTTTTTTGAAAATAGTTGAATTCCCGAAAATAATGTTTAAAAATTTAAAAAAAAAAAATTTTCTCAAATGTAATTAAAATAAATTTTATATTTTAAAGAATTTTATTTTCTTGTTTTAAAAAATTATTTTAAAATATTTACTGTATTTTTTTGAATAATTTTTACTAAAAATTTGGAAAATAATTGAAATTCACAAAAAATTTTGTATTTAAATAATTCAATTTTATCGTTGAATTCTAATAAGAATTGATTAAAAAAATAACTCAAGTTAAAGATTTGAAAAATAATTGAATATTAGAAGCGTTATAACAGGAATTTTAAGAAATAATTAAATTTTAAAAGGTTTTTGAATTGAAATCTCTTTGAAAATAGTTGAATTCCCGAAAATAATTTTTAAAAATTGAAAAAAAGGAATTTTGCTGAAATTTAATTAAAATAAATTTTTTACTTTAAAGAATTTTATTTTATCGCTTTAAAAAATTATTTTTAAATATTTACTGTATTTTTTGAAGAATTTTAACTAAAAATTTGGAAAATAATTGAATTTTACAAAAATTTTTGTATTTAAATAATTCAATTATCATTGAATTCAAATAAGAATTGATTTAAAAAAGAATTCAAGTTAAAATTTTAAAAGTAATTGAATTTGAAAATAATTTGTAATTTCAATTATAATATATGTAACAAAAAGTTTTTAAATATTTTTTTAACAAAAATTATTGATGTTTTAAATAACTTAATATAGTAATTCTAAAAAAATTACTTTTGTGTTTAAATAACTGAATTCTCGTAGAACTTTCTGAAAATAATTAATTTGAAAAAGAATTTCAGTTAAAATTTTAGAAAATATTTGAAGAATTGGAATAATTGCAGTTCTAATTTTTAGATTTAGAAATTTTTAGAAATAATTAAACTTCAAAAGGTTTTACATCGAAACTATTTGGATTTTCAATTATAATATAACAACAATTTTTGAAGTATTTTTTAAACAAAAATTATTGAAGTTTTGAATAATTTAATGTTGAAATTCTAAAAGAATTCGGTTTTTGAAAAATTGTAATAAAAATTTTTTCTAAGCTAAATTAATTCCCGAAAATAATTTAAAAAATTGAAACAGTTAAAAGTTTTGTCAAATTTCATTGAAATAAACTTTGTATTTGAAAGAATATAATATTTTATCTTTTTAAAAAGTGTTGATATGTAATAGAATTTTTTGAAAAATTATATTTCAAAAAATTATATTTTTTAAAAAACAATTAATATTCATTAAAATTCAAAAAGAAGGTTTCTTTAAACTAAACAACGAGTTTGAAAATGTCATAGTGTAGTTATGCTATTTATTATAATAAATAAATAATTGAAACCCAGTCAACAGAGTTTTGTACAATTTTAAGAGAATAATTTATGAGTTTATTTTTTATTTACTTTATTTCATTTTATTCACCAGAACATTTAAATAGAATCTCTTCATGAAGTTATAATTTGATTCAAATAATCGATTAATTGCGACTATTATCAATTAAATATTTAATTAAATCAAATAATATTTATTGGAGTCAATTAAATGGTTTAATTCATATTTGCTTCAAATACTGAAATTATTGGTTCAAATACCATTTATTAATTGACTCCAATAAATATTATTTGATTCAAATACCATTTAATTGACTCCAATAAGTATTATTTGATTCAAGTAAATATTTAATTGATAATAGTTAATTAATCGGTTATTTAAATCAAATAAATTATACAAAATATTATGTAAAAAAAAAAAATTTTTTTATTGGAGAGAAATTTATTATATGCTATTAATATTAATATATTATAAATTATTCTCTAAATTTGAATTAGTAAAAATGTTTACTAATTCGAATTAGTGATTGACTTTTTGCTTTCGAATTAGTAAATTTTACTAATTAATAGTAATTTGTAGTAATTTATTAGTAAAATTAAATTCATTAAATTGCCGCCTAGATGGCATGAAAATTCGCTCATAAACGAAATGAAGCAAAATACGAATCATGCTGGAGATGTAAAATTAGTTTCAGTTACAAAATAAATATTATAAATTACAATAATTAATTAATTGTATAATTGTAATAAATAAATAGTTCTAATTAATGGATAAAATTAAAGAAAATAGGGGAAAAATAGGTTATTTTTCAAACATAAAAAAAACTTTAATTCAAAATAGATTTTATCGAATCTATCGAATAGTATCAAACAGAATCAAAAATATTTTTTCTGTTTTCCCCTCTTGTACGAATTTTAAGTAAAAAAAAAATAATAAATAGTTGTCTCATAGAAACACGCTTTTGATATTTTGAAATTCAATCTCCAACAGTGTTTCCCACAATTATTAAACACTCTTAGGAACATATCAAGCCGTTATGATTCCGAAATGTGTTTTAAGCGCAGAAAATCTTGTTATATATGCTTTTACGAGCCAGTATATTCCAAGGATCACGCTTGCACTTGAAACATTTACAAATTCTCATTCCTAATGCAATCACCTTTAGTGAGGATGGGAACTTCAACCATCATCTTTGTTAATCGCATCTGTGTGGGACTTAAGTTTATGATTCTTAAACGCATGTCCACTTGCCGTTATTTCCTTCAATTCATTCGCGGACTTTCCCAGAGTTTGTGCTTATATACAAGATTATTATTATAAAAGGGACGGTCACAATATATTGTTTAGAAAAAAAAAAGAAAAATATCATTTGTGTATAAAATAATATACCCTTTTTCAAATCTTACCAACAATATGTATATGAATGGAACAATAAGGAAATAGAAAAACTTGCGTGTGCATATATACACAAATTACACATGCCCTGAAAATATCAAGTGCTAAAATATATTCGCGGTCAGGTTATGGAATATTTAAGCGAGGTGTTTATATGTACTGTACAAAATTTTATGACTTTCAAACTGAATAGAAAATTCTTGCATATTAGATTTAATAATTATACATATTATTTTGGTATGTTATAAACGAAGAATAAATCCTTTAATAAATAGGTAATAAACAATTTAATAAATCAAAATTTCTAACAAGATTCTGTGGAGAGTGAGAGAATCTTTTTATGAGTTAGTGTAGAGAGAAATATTTTCATGGTCAATCAAGTACAGTTTTATTAATATAATAAAAAAGAAAATAGAATTTATAAACAATTTAAATTAAAAATTCAAAAAAAAATTTGCGCTTGCAATATATTTAATAATTACACAAGCCAGTGCTGACGAATTGGAAGATTTTTCTTCAAATCTGAGGAAAATTAAAGCAATCTGCAATATTTGAAGAATTTGAAGAAATATTGTAAAAACGAAGATTTTTTGAAAATTTTGCAAAGGTTGTGTATATATATATCAAGTAATAATGAAAATATTTATAAACATTTAAATAATATAAATAAACCGTTTTTCAAAAATAAATTATAATTCATGTTCTTTACATTCTTATGATTATAATAATAAATGTAATAATTATTAATTACTATCGTAAATGTTACTGTTCCATTTATTATTTTGCAAATTAAAATTTTATATTTTCAAATATATTAATTTCTGAATAATTCAGACTCAAAATTAAAAAAATTCACTTCGTAAATAATAAATTTTTTTTTAGGAATTCAATTATTTTCAAAAATAACAATATTCATCAGAAGAATTCAATTATTTTGAAAATTAATAAAATTCTTCGCAGAAATTCAATTACTTTCAAAAAATCTAAAAAAAATTGTAGTCAACATTTCAATTATCTTTATAAATGAATACGAAAATTCATTGCAAAATGGAATTATTTTCATAAATAACAATATTCATCACAAGAATTCAATTATTTTCAAAAGTAATAAAATTAATGGCAAAATTTCAATTATTTTCAAAAATTTTTCTTAATTCAATGATTTTTAATATTCTACTATCTTAATAAAATTTCCCAAAAGAATTCAATTATTAAACAAAAATTTTGATAATATTTTACACGAATATGCAATTATTTTCCAAACAAATAAAAATTTCAGAGAAATTCAATTATTTAAAATAGAATTTTGCATAAATTTTTTTGAAAAAATCAAATGATTTAAAATTTGTCATTAAATTCTTCGCAATAATTCAATTATTTTCATAAATAATAAAACTCATTGCAGAATTTCAATTATTTTCAATGCAATTTTAATCGAATTCATCGAAAAATGTTATTATTCTTAAAAATATTATTAAAATTCGTCTAAAGAATTTAATTATTTCAAAAATTTGTTAATAACATTTTTTATGAGAATTTAATTTTAAGAAACATTAAATTAATAAATTATTTATTTTTGCATTTAAATTGTTGAATTCTCGTAGAATTTACTAATAAAAACTGTTTTAAAAATGAATTTCAGTTAAAATTTTAGATTATATTTTAATATTAAAAGCATTATAAACGTGGATTTTTAGAAATAATTGAATTTTGAAAAGGTTTCAAATGAGACTCATTGAAATTTTGAATTTTCATATTTTTAACAACAAATTTTGTAGAATTAATGCATTTGGAAAAGTTTAATTGAATTTGTTTTGAAATTATTTCAAGTTTTTATTTTCTAATATACACCTATTTAATTGAAGAATTTCCGAATAATTGAAATTTTGTAAAATTGAATTGTAAACAAATGAATTTGAAAATTCTCAAAGAACTTTTTATCAAAAATTATTAAAAATAATGGATTTATAGAAGAATTTTAGTTAAAGACACTGGAAAAAAATTTAATTTTGTAGAAGTTACAAATTATTGTAGAAATTCAATTATTTACAAGAGTACTAAAATTCTTCTTAAGGATTCAATTATTTTTACTAATAATAAAACTCATCACAGAATTTCAATTATTTTTCATACAATTTTAATTGAATTACTTGAAAAAAGTAATGATTTTCATGCAAGTTTTAATAAAATTTGACAAAATAATTTTATTATTTAAAAACTTGTTGATAAAATTCTCTATAAAAATTCAATTTTGAGAAACATTCTCTTATTTGACTCAAACTGGTTATTTAATTATTAACATTCAATTATTTAAAAAAAATTTGTAATAAAATTCTTGTTAAGAATTAAATTATTTTCAATAATTTTAATAACATTCTTTGGAAGAATTCGATTCTTTTTATAAATAATAATATTTTTTGCGAGAATTCAATATTATTTTCAATACAATTTTAATTAATTTTTCTTGTAAGAATTCAATTATTTGAAAAAAATTTTGGATAAAATTTGTCAAATGTCTTTAATTATTTTCAAATTTTTGGATAAAAACTTTGCAAGAATTTAGTAATTTTCAATGCATTAATAATTAATTTTAAAAATTCAAAACATTGAAATAGAAAATTTATTAAAAAAGTTGAGATGAAAACAAAAACTAACTTTAAACTGCGAACAGATTCAAACACAACAATATTAATTTATTTCTTTAAAATTGTTTGTGAAATTTAATTTCATTTATCATATTTTAGAAAAAATTATAACCAAAATCTGAAGAAATTTTTTTGATTAGTTTAAAGATTTCTTAAGAGAAATAAGAAAAAATGGAAAATTGCTTTCTTAAAAGACTTTTTTAAAAATTAACTTAATTATTTTATTACTTATTTAACATTACAAAAAGTAAAATTAATAAGTTAGCAAACAAATTAATTATTTTTTAAATATTCGAACAAATTATTTACCATGTAAATTGAACACAGCAGAATGATATTTATAATCTGTCCGCTTCATCTTGTTTGTGAGAGAATTTTCATGCCATCTGGACGGCAACTTTCCGAGTTAGAATGGCGCGAAATTCAAATTTGAAACAAGAAAACAAGTCAAAGAAGTTAATAAAAAGAAAAAAGTATTAAAATTATTAAGAAGGGAAAAAAAGGCAGTAGGAGCAATTTTCTTGAACTTTAAAAAATTCGACGCCAATTCTTAAACACTGATTTTTATAATTCAAAGAAATATTTCACAAAGTCCACTATACAAAAAAATAGCAAAAAGAATAAGATTTAAAATTGCGTTCAATATATATAAAAACATATTGTGACTCACTCTCATAATATTTGATTGGTATAATTTCGTTCTGGTGATTGTTTCGCTATTCTCTCTCTCTCTCTCTCTTTTCCTCTATACCTCGACCTTTCTCATCTTTATAAGTCGTATATTTTGCCCCCTCTCTTTGGGGCATTGCAACCTGGTACACAACCGCGTTCGTAATCACTGACTAAATAGGTTTTAATAGGAACTCGGTCTCGCAACCGAATCTCATCATTCTTATACAAGTGACAGGTGAAGAGAGTGGAGAATTTTTTATTCTTTTTCTTCTTCTTCTTCTTTTTCTTCTGCTTTTTTTTTTAAGTACAATTTCATTTCTTGAGAACAAGTCAACGGTATCTAATGTATCATCAAGTAGAATTTTAATAATCACAAATTACACTCAAATAGGATATGTTTAAATAGATCTCTTACTCTTTCTCCGCGAATGATAAATTATGTTATATCTAATAGCACGTTCCTTGAACAAAGATAATTTTATTATTTTGTATTTTCTTATTCTCATTATTATTCTTATTATTATTTTTGTTATTACTATTTTTCTCCTTCTTCTCTCCTTCTCCGTTTTTTCCTTCTTCTTCTTCTTCTTCTTCTTATATTTTATTATTATTGGTATTATTTTGTTATTATTATGACTATGATAATAACAATTATTATTATTCTCCAATTTTCTTTTCATCTTCTTTTACTTTTTCCCTTCTTATTGTTAATATTTATTTATTTTTCTTCTTCTTATTCTACTTTTTCTTCTTTTCTTAATTTTTTCTTCTTATTGATATTAAAAAAAGGAAAAAGTAGAAAAATATTTCTACTCTTTCCTTTTTCTGTTTTTCTACTGTTTCTTCTCTTTTTTATTATTTTTATTAATATTATTATTGTTATAATGTTTTATTTCTATTATTATCATTGTCAGTATTATTACTATCATTATCATTTTTCTCTCTTTTTTTTGCACAAGCAGATGAATCAACTCTGCAGGGTTTGCGGAGAACCGGCTGCCGGCTTCCATTTTGGTGCTTTTACCTGCGAGGGATGTAAGGTAAGAATTTATTAAAATACTTCACTAGGATCATTAAATTTCACTAATTAATGACTTCCTGGTTTTTTCTCGCCTTTTTTTTGTAGATTTTATAATAGTCACTTTTAATTATCGCAAGAATTTGTTAAAATTACTTTCTAAAGTTTTAAGGACGTTGAACCTAGACTACAAAATAAATAGTAAAATTTGACTATGAATTTTGTAATTTTTTCGAAATTTTTTTCATTAACATTATGTGACTGTTTATCATACGATCATCGCAATGTTAATTTCCCGAATACTTTTTCTTGTAAAAAATATTAAATTGTTTCTAATTGCAAACAAAGCGTTTTAAGTGAAAAATAAATAATTTCTTACAATTTTTCAACATTAAAGTTAATTTAAATGGTTATGTGAGAATTGTTATTTGTTTCAATTTCTTGAAATGACAAAATTTGGATTAATCAGGTTTTAAAAACTTACTCTTCATATTAAATTTTTGCATTAATTTTTAAATCAAAATTTTATTAGAAAATTCTACAAGAATTCCATTATTTAAATACAAAAGTAAATAATTTATTGAATAATTGAATGTTTCTCAAAATTAAATTTTTATAAAGAATTTTATAAACAAGTTTTTAAATAATTAAATTATTTTGTCAAATTTTATTAAACCTTGCATGAAAATAATTACTTTTTTCAAAGAATTCAATTAAAACTGTATAAAAAATAATTGAAATTCTAAAATGAGTTTTATTATTAGTAAAAATAATTGAATCCTTAAAAAGAATTTTAGTACTCTTGTAAATAATTGAATTTCTGCAATAATTTGTAACTTCTCCAAAATTAAATTTTTTTCCAGTGTCTTTAACTAAAATTCTTCTATAAATCCATTATTTTTAATAATTTTGGATAAAAAGTTCTTTGAGAATTTTCAAATTCATTTGATTACAATTCAATTTTATAAAAATTTCAATTATTTGGAAATTCTTCAATTAAATATATATATTAGAAAAAAAATTAAATAATTTAAAAAAAAATTCAATTAAACTTTTTCAAATGCATTAATTCTACAAGATTTGTTGTTAAAAATATGAAAATTCAAAATTTCAATGATTTTAATTTGAAACCTTTTCAAAATTCAATTATTTCTAAAAATCCACGTTTATAATGCTTTTAATATTTAAATATAATCTAAAATTTTAACTGAAATTCATTTTTAAAACAGTTTTTATTAGTAAATTCTACGAGAATTCAATTATTTAAATACAAAAATAAATAATTTATTAACTTAATGTTTCTTAATATTAAATTCTCATAAAAAATGTTATCAACAAATTTTTAAAATAATTAAATTCTTTAGACGAATTTTAATAATATTTTTAAGAATAATTACATTTTTTCGAGAAATTCGATAAAAATTTTATTAAAAATAATTGAAATTCTACAATGAGTTTTATTATTTATGTAAATAATTGAATTATTGCGAAGAATTTAATGACAAATTTTAAATCATTTGATTTTTTCGAAAAAATTTATGCAAAATTCTATTTTAAATAATTGAATTTCTGTGAAATTTTTATTTGTTTGGAAAATAATTGTATATTCGTGTAAAATATTATCAAAATTTTTGTTTAATAATTGAATTCTTTTGGGAAATTTTATTAAAATAGTAGAATATTAAAAATCATTGAATTAAGAAAAATTCTTGAAAGTAATTGAAATTTTGCCATAAATTTCATTACTTTTGAAAATAATTGAATTCTTGTGATGAATATTGTTATTTATGAAAATAATTCCATTTTGCAATGAATTTAATTAAAATTCCTGAAAACAATTGAATTTTGGTGACGAATTTTGGTATTCATTTATAAAGATAATTGAAATGTTGACTACAATTTTTTTTTAGATTTTTTTAAAATAATTGAATTTCTGCGAAGAATTTAATCAATTTTCAAAATAATTGAATTCTTATGATGAATATTGTTATATTTATGAAAATAATTGAATTCCTAAAAGAATTGTATTATTTACGAAGTGAATTTTTAAAATTTTGTATATGAAATTATTCAAAAATATTGTTTATATTTAAAAGTATAAAATTTTTTAATTTGCAAAATAATAAATGGAACAGTAACATTTACGACAGTAATTAATAATTATTACATTTATTATTATAATCTTAAGAATGTAAAGAACAATAATTACAATTTATTTTTAAAAAATGGTTTATTTACATTATTTAAATGTTTATAATTATTTTCCTTATTACTTGATATATACACTGCCTTCGTAAAATTTTCTAAAAATCTTTAAGTTTTTACAATATTTCTTCAAATTCATCAAATATCGCAGATTGCTAAGATTTTTTCGTTTATTTATAATTCTGTCTTATTTATAATTTTTTTTATTTATGTTTTTTTGTTGTTACATGAACATAATAATACTAACAGATGAATGATATTTATAATAATCCGCCTGTGCCATCTCGTTTACGAGCGAATTTTCATGCCATCTGGACGGCAACTTTTAGAGTTATAATGGCGCGAAATTCAAATTTAAAACAAAAAAAACAAAGTAAAGAGGTTAATAAAAAAAATGATAAAATAAATTTAATATTTTACAAGAAAATTGATCGGTAAATTATAACATTGTGACGATATGAAAATTGAAACAAAAAACAAATTAAAAGTGTTGTTTGATTCCTTTTCTGCCTCAATTTGATATCCTTAGAAAAACTGTGTTGACATTCACATTTTCTTCCAATTTGTGAAGTACACTGAAAAAAAAGTTCTGGATAGGTTATATCTAACACGATATTCTAGTTAAAACAATCAAAATTCTGGTTAAATTAACTAGAATTCTGGTTAACTGAAAAAAATCTGGTATAAGGGCATATTTAACACGAAATTCTAGTTAAAAACAGGTTTTCTGGTAATTCCAATCCGAACTTATTTTTCAGTGTATTCTTTTTTTGAAAGATATTTATTTTTTTTACCATTTTTTTGGGGGGGGGGGGGGGAATGCAGAAGCAACTTTTTTTCATTAGTTTCATTTTTTTTCTCTTGCTATTTTGAATAATTCTACAATGAGTTCTTTTTCATCTTCTAATTGCAGTCCTTCTTTGGAAGAACCTACAACAACTTGAGCAGCATATCAGAATGCAAAAACGGAGGCGTCTGTGTGATAAACAAAAAAAATCGCACAGCCTGCAAGGCATGCCGTCTAAGAAAATGTCTAATGGTAGGAATGTCAAAATCAGGATCACGTTACGGTCGACGTTCAAATTGGTTCAAAATCCATTGCCTCCTACAGGAGCAAGCACATCAGCCACTCTCACGTTTCAAGGATCAAAAAGCCCTCTACGAGAAGCCCTTCTCCTCACTAGACGCCGCCAATAATAATAACAATAACAACAATAACACAACAACAGCACCCAATAATAGTCAAATAGTAAATAATTTCCCCGAGAGAATGACAAAACGCGAAGAGGTCAGTGCATTGAGGCCACAGGACGTGTCGTCTCATCGTCAAACGGACCAAATTCCCAGACCACAGGAGATGCTGAGGCCACCGGCCGACCTTGTGAGACCTCACGAATTACTGAGGCCGGAAGCAGCAAGATTTCCAATGTGGCGCGGTCCACCATTGTTTCATCCGGCTTTCAATCACATGCAATTATTGAACACACCCTTCTTCTTTCAACAGCGATTCATTGTGCCCTATGTGAATCAAGTGGGTGCGGCACAGGCTGCCGCTAGTTTATCGAGTTCATCCAGTGACAGCATTAGTTCGCGAACGACTCCATCGCCCAAGGAGCAGGATGAGGAGGATGAGGAGGAAGAGGAGGAGGAGGAGGATGAGACGAGAAACAATGATAATCAAGAGGCGGATAATGGTGACACTGGTGGTGGTCGACAATTGGAAATCTCCTACGATAAGAGTATTGCATTCCTTCGATCATTAGGTCCCGAGCAAGAGGAGCCAATTGATTTGAGCCTCAAGAATCATCCGCAGGATTTGAAGACGCAAATTATTCTCAAGGATGAGGAGGACAGATCGTCGGAAAGTGAGGATAATGATATGGACCTAGATCCTGAAACTGGTCCACCTCTGGATCTAACACGAAAAACTTGACCTTGAAAATAGCGTCAAATTTCCCCCCCCCCCTCACAATTCTTTGTAGTTGAATCTCTTCTGTGAAGTGCCTTAAAGAAAATCTCCGTTTGGAACTTTATATGAACCTTTCCTTATTTATAAAATTAAATCATTAAAATTTCTCTTATCGTGAAGAGATGCTTCTTTTTTGGAAAATGAATCGACACTGTTTAACTTAAAAGTATCAAATTGCAACCAACTGATCCAAAAATGTGGATTAAATCAAAAATTGAGACAAATTTTTGTCATCAAATTAAAAATTGATCCAAATTCTTGGCATCATATCAAAAATTGATCCAAATTTTTGGCATCAAATCAAAACTTGATCCAAATTCTTGGCATCAAATCAAAAATTGATCCAAATTTTTGGCATCTAATTAAAAATTGATCCAAATCTTTGGCATCAAATAAAAAATTAATCCAAATTTTTCGTCATCAATTTGATTCATTTCAGTATCAATTTGACACTTTCAAGAAAACTGTGGAAACATGACAATTTTTTTTTTATTTTTCTTCTTCTTTTTTTGTTCTTCATTCAAAAATCGGTGTGATGCGACCGAAGAAAATTGCTCAATTCTCTATTTGAACAATTGTGCGCGAAAAATAACGCCTGCAATTATGAACAGTGCCTTTTTTGAAAAAAAGTTACATATACCTTTTAGTGCCAGTAAAAAAAAAATGCCGTGATTCTTTCGTGAACACAGCTTGCGAGTATTTTATATACACTTATATTTCGATAGGAAAAAGTGAAATTATATTAAAAATTTAAAAAAAAAGACTCGAAAATAGTGTAAATATTTATATATAAACATATATAGAATATACGCTGATGATGCGATTTGTCAGTAAAAAAAAAACCCAAGGCCAGTCTTGCAATAATTTTTTGCCTATTTACATTATTTCTTTTTTTGTTTTTTTTTCTTTTATGAAGTTGACAAAACGTTCAATGGAGGTCTTATCGTATTTTTGTGAAATTCATTGATTTTTTTCAAAAAAGAATCAGAATTTTTTCTATATCTATATAGTCAAAAAATTGGAGAATCAAAAATACGAATATATTTTTGTGATGTTTGGTTTTTGTAAAATAAACTATTTTTCTACTTCTTTGTATAATAATGTAGAGAAATTTGCTTGTAAAACGATGAAGAAAAAATATATTTTTTTAATTTCAATAAATCTGTATAATTTTGAGAAAATTTGAACAGATTTCAATTTTTATACAGTGAATATTAAAAAATTTTCTGTGTAATTTTCAATGCCAATACTTGATTTTCGAGAAAATAAATTAACACTTTTCTAAAATAATTTTTTTCTTCATTTTTAAAAAATCTTTTGAGACTTCTTTTATTTTTATTTTATTCTATTTTTTACTTTTTTGAAAACCCATCTCCCTAAATTTGAATTAGTAAAAATCAGTTAATAAAATTAGTAAAATAGTTTACTAATTTGAATTTCAAATTTTACATAATTTATTGGAAAAAAATCTCATCTTTCGAATGAAAATGATATAAATAATGAAAAAAAGGTATTTTTTGTAAAAATTGAAATACAAGATTTACTTTTTAAAAAAAGGGATTAAAATATGAAGAAAAAGATGTCATTGGAAGTTTACGTGGAATTTCTCTATATAAAAATTATTTAAATATATCATGAAGATTATAAATAATAAATGTCTATAAATTATAGACATGAAGATATTTATATTTTTTGTTTTTTTATATTTATACTATTTTTTTCTTTTAAACACGAAAACATATTTTTCATGTTTATAACGAAATTTTATTATTTCCATATTTTAAGGAAATAATGAAAAATTAAAAAAAAATTAAAATTAAAAGTTTCAAAAATTGGAATAATATATAGAAAAAAATTGTTTTCTCCAGTACAATATTATTAGTAATTTACAAATTTACTTGTAAATGAAAAAAGACGAATAATTTACTATACTTTTTGATATATAGTAAAACCTAAAAAATATTTCGAAATTCGTCGCACTTTTTTGTGTAGTTTTTTAATATCCAAAGTAAATTTTACCATATCCGAACTAAATTTTAGTAAAAGATTAGAAAAATAAAAAGAAAATTCACTTCGGATTTAGTAAAATTCCCCGAAAATAAAAAAACTGTTCAAAAATGGAAAAAATCTTTTACTTATTTTTTTTTCCTCTTGTAAATTTATTGTAAGATTCTCAGCTTTATTGTTATTTGCCTTTTAAATCAATTAATAAAAATAAAAATTATTTTTTCGATTCATCAAATAAAAGATAGATTTTCATTAAAAAAAAAAAAAAAAAACCAAACAATAATTTAAAAACTAAGAGAAAAATCACTTCGGATATAATAAAATACTCCAAATTGAAAATAAAAATTAAAAAATAGTAAAATGATAATTTCCCCTGAAGAAAAAAAGAAACCCAAAAATTTTTTTTAATAATATAAAAAAAAATAAAATCTGTAAAATTTTAACAGTCATAGTCTCTTGGGAATTTAAATCCGTTCTTGAATAAAAATACTAATCATTGTTAAGCCAACGCCTATAAAGACTAATTTCGATAAAATTTCAAATTGTAAAAAAAAAAATTTAGAATAAGTAAAAATAAAAAAAAATTTTTGGAAAATTTTATTTATTTTTTTACCCAGTAGCTTTATTGAAAAAATTTAATTCTGCGAATAATATTTACCCTCCAATGAACGTTCAATCAATATAATGTGGATTTTGAGGTCTATAATAAATAAAATCTGCGTTCATAAAGTGGGTCAGTACAAAAAAAAAAAAAATTAATGAGAAAATAAATAAAACCAGAAAGATGTGATTTCGTATATGATGCCAGCTGATATTTTTTGTAAATATTTATAAAGTGTTGGACGATTTACATTTAATAAATATGGTGTATCTTATTTGATGATTTTTTTCCCTTATTCACAACATTCCATATTTTTCCTTGACACTTTTTCAAAGATGAATAATTTTTTCATTGTACCTATAATTTCTTTTCACTATATTTTATTCATTTTATTCACAATATTTTTTTACTGTATTCTTTGTACTGTATTTTTAATAATTATTCATTTCGTGGCTTACTGGAAATTTCCAAAAGGAATTTTGAAACCTCAATAACTAAACTTTCGAAAAAAGATTTTAAAATTACGATTTTTTAGCATAAAAAGCAAAAAAGTGTCTTTTTGACTCCACTCTCCTATCCACTCCTTTTTTTATTCCTTTAAATGAAAAATTTGCTAATAAAAATCTATTTCAAAAAAGCTTATCCCAGTAATAATTCTCCCTTTTTTAATTTAAAGTAAAACTTTATTTGCAAAAATTTGTTTAAATAATAAAAATCTTGTAAATTTATTAGTCTCTCGTATATACAATGATAGGAAATAATTTCAAACCGATCATTTTTAACGAGCTTGTGTGAATATAAATTACTCGTCAAACATTTATTTCCTTTCATTTAAAAGCACACATGTCCTTTTTTTTCATATAGAAACGTCATTTTTTAAAGATTTATTTTCAACTTTTTGACTTTAAGAGCATCGAGAATAAAAACCGGTTAATTAAAATGAAATCGATGAAAAAAAAAGAACGAGAGGAACAATGATGAAAGATTTTCTATACATAAATGCATTATTCTATGTAACAAAAAGAAAGAAAAAAAAAATTCTAGATAAATTTTCAATGATAAAATTATATTCTATTGCAAAAGATGAACTATAAATTCAATCATGAATAATCATCACCTTTCTCTCATTTTCTCGAAATGACCTTGTCAAGAACAATTGTGAATAAATTAAATCAAGCGAGTTTTTCACCCCCGCTGATATATAAACTATTATAGATTCTGATAAGTCAATGAAATAAGAATACGTTCGCGTTTCACTTGCCATTTCAAGAAACATTTATCAAGGATTCATATTGATACGTATCTGGTAAAATTTTTTTAATTTTTTTTTAATCTTTAAGTTGTATCTTCTGACTCGTCTCTTGATGCGCCTTGTTTTAAGATAATTATGTTTATGTCTTTCTCTCTCTCTCTCTCTCTCTCTCTCTCTCTTTAGAGATGAGGGAGAGAGAGAGAGAGAGGGACAAAAGGAGGATAATTGAATTACGCACACCTTGACATTTATAATATCCATGTCCCTTTCCGATGGAACACGCTCAATAATAATTTGTTTTCCATTGGAGAGACATCTTCGCGTGGAGAGCGGATCTTCTTACCGAGTCGTTATGTTTTTATCTCCGACAGCAATTAGAAGATGATTTTCTCGTTACAATATGCAAAACTAGTTCGTGACGCAGACACTTGACTTGTTCTTCAAGACCACCTTCGTATAATAAATTGTTCGTTATTTAGAAAAGAGAATCATTCAGTGATTTGCGCGACAATAAATTTTCTTTGAGATGTCTTATAGCTTTTTTTTTTCATTTTTTCTCTATCGTGAAGGACGTGGAAATATTGCATTATTATTTCGTTTTTGCTTTTTAAATTCAAGCGAATTTTAGTTCAATTTTTCTATTATATGATAAAGGGAGGAAAATAATTTCTTCTACTTCTTCACTTCATCTTTTTTTTTACTTCTCTATTTTTCGTAAAATTTTATTAAAATTTTTTGGAAAATAATCGAATTCCTGCGATGAATTTTACTGTTTATAAAAATATTTGAATTCTTCCAAAAGAATGTTTTATTAAAATTCTTGAAAATAACTTGATTCTTATCATTAAATACATTTTTAAATAATTTAATTCTTGCGAAAAATGTTATTAACATTTTTGAAAATAACAGGGCTCGAGTCAGTAAAAGTATTTAAAAATACGGACTTTGCGGACCAAAAATGAAAAATTACGGACCAATTACTGACAAAAATATAACCAGTCCGAGTCAAATAAGAGAACATTTTACTTAAAACTGTCAATTAAATTTTTTCATAACTATAAACCATAAAGATGTCGATATCTCCGAGTCGAAGACTCGGAGTGATCTGTTTTTTCATGTTTTATAATAATTAAAGATGGCCCAGTGATAAAATCATTAAGTTTTAAATCAATTTTTATTAGAAAATTCCACGAGAATTACATTATTTAAATACAAAAGTAAATAATTCATTAAATAATTGAATGTTTCTCTAAATTGAATTCTCATCAAGAATTTTATCAACAAGTTTTTAAATAATTAAATTATTTTGTCGAATTTTATTAAAACTTGCATGAAAATAATTACTTTTTTCAAGGAATTCAATTAAAATTGTATGAAAAATAATTGAAATTCTGTGATGAGTTTTATTATTAGTAAAAATAATTGAATCCTTAAAAAGAATTTTAGTACTCTTGTAAACAATTGAATTTCTGCAATAATTTGTAACTTCTCCAAAATTAAATTTTTTCCCTAAGTGTTTTTAACTGAAATTCTTCTATAAATCCATTATTTTTAATAATTTTTGATAAAGTTCTTTGTAAATTTTCAAATTCATTTGTTTACAATTCAATTTTATAAAAATTGCAATTATTTGGAGATTCTTCAATTAAATATATATTAGAAAAAAAAATTTAAATAATTTTAAAAAAAATTCAATTTAACTTTTTCAAATGAATTAATTTTACAAAATTGTTTGTTAAAAATATGAAAAATTCAGAATTTTAATGATTTTAATATTGAAACCTTTCCAAATTCAATTATTTCAAAAATCCACGTTATAATGCTTTTAATTTAATATTTAATTATAATTTAAAATTTTAACTGAAATTCATTTTTAAAGCAGTTTTTATTAGTAAATTCTACGAGAATTCAATTATTTAAATACAAAAATAAATAATTTATTAATTTAATGTTTCTTAAAAATAAATTCTCGTAAAAAATGTTATCAACAAGTTTTTGAAATAATTAAATTCTTCAGACGAATTATAATAAGATTTTCAAGAATAATTACATTTTTCGAGGAATTTGATTAAAATTGCATTGAAAATAATCGAAATTCTGCAATGAGTTTTATTATTTATAAAAATAATTGAATTATTGCGAAGAATTTAATGACAAATTTTGAAACATTTGATTTTTTCAAAAAAATTTATGCAAAATTCTATTTTAAATAATTGAATTTCTGTGAAATTTTTATTTGTTTGGAAAATAATTGTATATTCGTGTAAAATATATGATCAAAATTTTTGTTTAATAATTGAATTCTTTTGGGAATTTTTATTAAAATAGTAGAATATTGAAAATCATTGAATTAAGAAAAATTCTTGAAAATAATTGAAATTTTGCCATAAATTTCATTACTTTTGAAAATAATTGAATTCTTGTGATGAATATTGTTATTTATGAAAATAATTCCATTTTGCAATGAGTTTTGGTATCAATTTATAAAGATAATTGAAATGTTGACTACAA